CCCCAAAACCCCAAAACCCCAAAACCCCAAAACCCCTGGACTAGAAGAGAGAGATTATAAGTTAAAATTTTAAATTTTTAAAATGGCAGATGAGCAACTTATACAAACCTTAATTTCACCTTCCAGTAATTATGATGAAGAATATTCCTTGGAAATAAGTAGACTGGTGTCTCCTACAGAGAAAGAAATGAGCGGACAAAAAGCGGCATCTTCATATTTCTGAGGTAAGTCGTTTTGTCATCAAATAATAATTAATTTTCAAAATGATAATATTTGCGCGCAACTTCTATTTTTAATTTTTACATAGATCCAAACCATCAATTCAGTCTTAGAACAATCGGAATGCGCACCAGTAGAAATAATGATTCGAGGGAAGCTGTGATGAATCACTTTGACCCTAATGGATTGTCGCAAAAGTTTACGATTTCGGAAGAAAACAACAGTATTGGATCAAAAGATTTATTCAACTTCTCTCTCTCAGATACTCGAAAAGAGATGTCCTCCATTGCTCTGGAGGAGCCAGAGATAAGGGAGAAAATCTGCACTCCTCAGGAGGAAGAAGAAGAGAATGAAGATTCAGATCCTTTGACACCTCAAGAACTTCAAGAATACATGATTCTTCAGCAGCGAAGAGCTGAACTGGAATCAAGAATTAGACAGATCGAAGAGAAGAAGCTTAAATCAGGTATAAATCTCATTCTTTGCATTGCATGCATGCTAACAGTTCATTTTTAGACAAATCATCTGAAGGCAGGATACCTAGGAAAATAAACGAGATCAGTGAGAAATATGGCCAACCTGAAGGATCGCCAACTATAGAAAATGACCAATCTCAAAAGCAAGGAGGAAATGATAGCGTTCAGACTGTTGTAGGGGTTCATACAGTTACAATGCCTTCAACTCACATTAAGGATAAAACTTCTACAGAAAGTGATACCACCCAGAGCTGTATGGGACCTACCTTTATCAGTAGAAACATCACTGCGAGCACTTTAGACCCAAGACACCCTAAAAACCACAGTGGAGATTACAAAATAATAAAATCAAGGAGAGGAATTCCGGTTGAAGACACCACCTATGAGGGAGTCTACTTTAAGCATCTCGAAATGAATGATGATGACAAAAAGAAACCCCTCACTGGCAAAAAGGAATACCAAGATATTTTCAACAACAACTGAATCAACCTTGATGTCCGAAGGGAACTTTCCTTTGATGAAAGTCATGATAATGAACTCCCACCAATAGAAGAAAATATCTGTGAAAATATGGAGAGCTCTACTGATAGAATCTGTGAATTTGACGAGAATCAAGAGCCAAATAGGAACCTTAATGCTGCTATTAGAAGCTTTATAGATGATAGGACTGCCAAACGCTCTTCTGTAAAAGATAGCTCAGTCAGTATGGGCTCTCACCATAGATCTAATAGCTCAATTAAGGAAAATATAAGATACTCTCAGGTGGATGAAGACAAGGAAAATTCTACACTTAGCAAAATCCTTGACCGTGTCGAACTAAAATACATTACTAATAACTCAGAAAGAAGGAAGGAGAGACAACAGTACGAAGAAGATGTCGATGAGTGCAAGATGCTTATAGATTTCCAAAATACCAGCCACCTCAAGGAAACTCCAAATATATCAAGTTCCAGTAATATGAAGAGTTATGGAAAATATGACAGTGAGTCCCAAAAGCCAACTGGGAAGAAATTTATTAGACATACCAGAAGAAGCTCTTACCAAGACCCAGAAGAAGTTATCCCAGTCAAAGAGGTCAACATCTTTGATATTCATGCTAATTTTGATGACAGAATCACAAATCTGAGGTCATTTTATGAACCCGAGAATCAAGATCCAGACAAAGTTGTATTGGAATGGCAGAATATTGACAATATGGGAACTTCTCCTGTGGAGCTTAACCCCTCTCCCGAGGAAGATAATAACCAAAAGACTCTCAGCTACATTTCAGATCAGAACTCTGAAATGAAAGATCCTTCAATTATGGAATTGTTCAGTGAAGATAATCAGCCAATAATTGAGGAGGAAGAGAAAAGGCCATTCTCACAACTAGAAATTACCAAGAAAAGAGCTAATAACCCAAGTATGATCCAACTGAACAAATTTAAAACCTTCAACAATGGATCTCTCTTAGAAGGCTCTTTAAACCCTACAGAGAGTAAAGACTCTGAAGCTCTCAATTCAAAATTCACTTCCCACACAATCCAGTGAAGAGAGAAGAAGGCTCCAAAACAGAAGAAGACAACAATACTTTCTAAGAGGAGGTCTCTCAGTCGGAACGAAAAGGTTGTTGATACTAAAAAGCGGAAGCATGCTTATAACTACATCAAGAAGAACATCCAGTCGATTCACTCTCAGACTTATAGCAGCAACTCTGAAACTGTTGATAAGAGGTTCCAGTATGAGAAATCTAGTACTTATATGAAAGATACAGAGAGCTTGAAGATTCGCAAAGGGATTTCAAAGAAGCCTAAAATCTCTAAGCCCACCAAAACGAAGACAGTCAAAATGTCTATTAGTGAAGATGGCCAAGGAAAGATTTTGAAAACTGATGGAAGCTTAAGAGGAAGTAAGGAGTCTATCTCCTTCAGAGGAAGCATCCAATCTAAAAATACACCATATAATACAGAAGATTCATTGAAATTTTCAGGGTTTAGCAGCACAAAGCCTAATACTCAGACTACCTCTGATCAAACTAGGGCTCTCAGGTCTAATCCAGGATCTTCTGAGCAAGATAAGTCTAAAAAGATAGCCCATGCTAAAAGGCTCTTAAATAATAGTAAGAGTCAGAACTTATTTGAGAAAAATCCAATTAGAACCAACTCAAAGAATAACAGACTGAAGAAAATGAAGAATAGACTAGACAGACAGAGAAATTTGATTAATGAAATTACTAGTATAAAACAGCAGATGTCTACCAGAATCCCACAGAAAATCCAGAAGAGGTCTACTTCTAGGACGAACAGAAGGAACACAGTGCTGCCAAAGGAAACCGGCACACAGAATCCTAATAAAATTCTAGCCTCTCGTAGTAGGAGTAGGACAGGAAACAGTAACTCTAAGATCCCTAAAACAAGCACTAAGAAGGTTGGGATAAACAAGATAGCTCATCATACTTCCAAGCTAAGTAGGAACAACTCCTCAAATAACACGAAGAGTTTAAAGACTAGGTCCTTTATGAACTCAACGGCAACCTACTACAACAAAGGGAACCAGTATTCTGGAAAGAGCATGAGCGGGAACAAGCCAAGGGTATATCCCGCCAAAGAGCAGTGTAACAAGGATTCCATTTATACTACAAAAGGTAAGTAGAGTCCCTAAGATTCTCTAAATCATGAATATAGGCAAAGATAGCTACACCAAAATCATGAAGAAAAGGCAGAGTATTTCCCTCAATAAGAACAAGCTTGGCTTAAAGAAACAGAATCGGTCAAAGAGTAGAAGAAGCAGTAACTCTAGAAATGTGGCTTGTAAGGTAATCCACAGGTGTGGAAGTGTAGGCCATGTCTCCCCAATGAATTCCCTTAGGGAGAACACCAGCACCCAGAACAGTAGGAAGAATATTAGGAAAGGAAATGCTGGAAACACCACTGGAAGTGATAGAAGCACCAACAAATTTATGAGAAGCAGGAAAAGCCATTCCACTCTTGCAGAGAATAATCAAGGATTAAATGATGTCAAAGAGAGTGTTCATAATCATCTGGCAGGTGAATTTAGGTTCTAATCTATAGGTAAAGGGATAATCTCTTCTTTTGCAGGCATTGAAACAATCACTTTCAACTTATCCTCCAAGGTGAAAATGCTGAAAGAGACAAATTTTTTCTAATAAAGTCTATTTAGAAGCATAATTCTTCAATTTAAATATCGAAGTTCGGGGTTTTGGGGTTTTGGGGTTTTGGGGTTTTGGGGTTTTGGGGTTTTGGGG